AATGTTGTTTTCTTATTTCAATCAAAAGTTAGGCTACTCTATTGTCCTACATTAGTAATAATCTAGCTTATGGCCTGATGATCCGTTCTTTGTATAAATCTATTACGTCAATGTCCCTTGGAAGGGATCGCCGGATGTAAAGGGTTAAGGCGTTGGACTTAAGATCCAGTTTACAATAGTGAGCATGGGTTCGATCCCCATTCCCGGCAAATTTTTTTCTTTTTTTTAGTTCTACGACAGTGATAGGCACTTCATTCATCCTGTAATAATTCTTAAATGTCAGTTTACTGCATGGGTCATATAAGGAGTTCTAACGTAATACTGTATTGTACTATCAACGTTATTAGCTTAAATTTTAGTGGAAACTAGAGCACACAAGTAAGAGACGTTGAATGGTCGACAGTTTTTGTTTTCTTGACAAAATAAAAGGGACGGTGCCATACTCTTTATTTGTTCAACTAGATCAACTATGTGGCAGACGACAACAGCTGTGTTACGTATCGTACACTGTCTGGGTCAGTATCCAGTTATAAACATTCTCACAACTTAGTATCCAAAATTTGATTAGGTGCAAATTCGTAATCTTGAAGAGATAAGCTTTTCAGTGGAGAAAATCAGTTTCACGGCTGAGAAAAGAAAAAGTGTTCCGGTGAAAACACGAGAAGCGTTGTTTTGTTCAAGATTTTCGCTGTAATCTGTCAGCTGTAATTGCATGATACAGGTGAACTGGTTTGTATTGCCTAACACTATTTGTGCAATCACTGTCGTATATACTATAAACCGTAGCAAAATTTCTGTGGCAATAATGAATCATCTTCTAGTAAGATCTTATAACAAGACTTCGTACGCTCTTGTGATAAGAACTGAATATGAGTAAGCGCTCTTACTGATAAGATCTTGCAAGATTCTGATAGATATCTGTTTTTGAGGAGAAAACACTATTACGTAACACCTTACATGATCTTGATCTTGCTTTTTTGTAATCGAGTACAGAAGAATTTATCCCTACCACAATCTGATCATAAGCTAGATAACATGATTAATTCTGAAAAGCGACACATGAAACCGGTAGAGCTCGTTTTGATTGGAGCCAGCGCAAAGAAAGTTGGAATCGGTCTCTGGGCGAATCCATTTCGAGAAAAACTGGAATCCTGACCAAAGATATCTTACGTAGATCAGATTTGTTTTCTATTGAAACTAAAATAAAGTTTGAATTATCAACGAAATGAAGGGGAAAACTTTTCCATGTACTATATTACTCAAAGGTGTAATATAATACATGGAACTGTCTAAACATTATCATTCTAAAAGAAGTTAAGCACAGCTTTCTGAAAAGCTTTCTAAAAAGTTTTGGAGTAACACCAATGTATATATTAAAAAGGGTTTTCCTAGTATTCGTCATTGCTGGATCACCAGTGCAAAAACTAGCTACTCAGAGAGATTGCGTCTAAATTCTCTGTAAAATGATCTTTAAACGTGCATCCCGGGCTGTTTATCCTTATTATAGTTGCTCTTCTTTATATCTACTATTTTCTCTTCTGTAGGAATGATTCTTTTAAGTTGCTTCTAGCTTTTATTATTACTCTGCCAAAAAAACATTTACTCAAAAATAAATTTAATCTAAATATAACCACTACAGTAGTCCTTTTTTAATTTCTCCTGATGTTTTTTCGTTCCATTTTGGCACTGTTTATCGTGCGATTTGTTTGAATAATTTCATAGGATGATAACGATGGCACGATCTTTTCAACGCGTTCAATAAATAAAGGATCGACTGGATATGCTTCTAAAATTTGATCAACGGAATCAGCATTTTCATAATAAATTTTTGCTATTGTTCTTAGATAATTTGTATCGAAGAAGAATTCCAGATGGCTGATCGATCGAACCTAAATGTTGAAACCAAGTCAGTATTAAATCAGATGAAATACCATTACATTGAGGTTCGAATACAATTTTGATTTTTGGTGACACCACGCATCGTGTCAACTTGTCTTCGAATGAAATGTTAGTTAACATCGTTAAAAGAAAGCTATCACTAAACTCTAGGATATCTGAAAATATCGTTAAGTTTCAACTTGTTTTGGCGGAGTTAGGTAGAAAACAGTATTTTTCTAAAAAACCGAACAAAGCGCATCTTCAGTATTTCGTTTTTCCTAACAGAGAGATTTTCGACAAAAAGATTCAAATGGCAATATTTCGATAGAGAATTTCAAGAGCTACCTACGGACAAAACACTTTTTCACTTTCGATTCTGTCTTCGTATTCAAAATCCTCTTTTACTGAAAGGACCGAAATTTTCGGAAAAATTTAGATTTCTACCTCAAACTAAATATTATTCAGATGTATTGTATGTCAAAAGATAGAGCGTCAAAAACTGCATCAGATGATGTATTTGAAGTTTGATTATGATCGAATTTTGAGGAGCGTTTCTTCAAAAGAAAGTTTTGGAAAACACGGCTAATTCTGATTTTTCCGAATTTTCGGCACTGAAATCGAAGCTTTGGATTGTTCACTTTATAATCATAAAAATAGACAACCGAATAAGCAGAAGCAAAGCGGAGAAGAAGAAAAGTGAGCTGCCCAGTACGCGTTTCAGCCTTACTCAAGGGCTTCGTCAGCTGGGCTGGGAGAAGAACTAGTAAAACTAGTAAAAGAAGATTAGTAAAACTGGTTAGTGGCGTATGTCACTTACCCGATCGTCATCGTCGTAAAATGTCGAAAATGAAAATAACAGTAAGTGGAAACAAAGCGGCAAGGAAAATAAAACAAGAAAGATATATCTTTCTTTTTTTGTTCTCCTTCTTAGACTGTGTAGAAGGGCACAGTTTCGTAATAGTTGAACCAGTCATACGTTTACCATTTACTTCTATACTTTACTTCTATATAGAAATGAGATGATTATCGAAACTGATGCATATCTTTCGCTGTACTCGATAGTGATATGTATGTTTCGTTCTATTCGTCACATATACTACCACGCTGCATGATATACTTGTAGAGCGCTAATTATATTCAGAAATATAATTTCAAGCCATGGTGCCGAGCCACTAGCGTTACTCGTGGACAGCGTATGAAGAACAAAATAAACAACGAGCGTTACTCGCGGGTCGCGGTCAGTGCGTTAAAGGATGTTTTTTGCTAATGAAAAACGGATGATGATGATGAACATCCAAGCTTTTATTGAGATCTGTGCCTGGTATATTGACAAATGCTAAACCAATAAAACATCCAAGTTGATCGTTTTGCATATTGACTCTAGCTGTTTTCTATCCAGCGAAACATCCGAACAATTTGCTGTACTTCACACGACTACGGACGACAATATATAAATAAATTGAAATTGATTTTTCTTTTGGTTGTCTTTCCACGTATGGGTGTCGAGCTATTAGATTAAAAGTCTTCTCAATTCCACCAACCGTTAAAATGCGTACCGATTCCACCAATTGTATCCTTGATAACTATTTTTAAGATTAACAGTATCAATTTCAAAACATTCCAGCAATAATGATAAATACTTTGATCGTTTTAAAAGGATATCAGCTGCGGCTTGTGTATCATATACATATTGAAAGTTTAAATCAAAATCACGGAATAAATTTTTAATACAGGGTTGGAAAAATTGTTTTTCCAGGAGGGTACCGCTCAAACTACAAATTATATCACAGAGTATTATATATCAAATTAATGCCCATTAAAAATGAAATCTATGAGTATACTCGATAGTTCATACAACGAGGCT